ACCATTGCTTATTTATTGTAGGGTGGAAAAGTATAGGCCTTCCAAATTAGACGATCTAATATCACACGAGGAAATAATTTCCACAAGTAAGTTGATATGCATTGAATAATGCTTGTATTTTATGTCTATATCTATTTTCCGCCAGTTAATCGTTTTATCGAACAAAAGCAGCTGCCACATTTGCTCTTCTATGGCCCACCTGGCACTGGTAAGACCAGCACAATTCTCGCCTGCGCTAAGCAACTCTATAATCCAGCACAATTTAGGTCAATGGTACTGGAATTGAATGCTTCAGATGATCGTGGTATTGGAATTGTGCGTGGGCAAATTTTGAACTTTGCATCAACTCGCACCATCTTCAGCGGCACCTTCAAATTAATTATTTTGGATGAAGCTGATGCTATGACGAATGATGCACAAAATGCGCTACGTCGTATAATTGAAAAGTATACGGAGAATGTGCGATTTTGTATTATTTGCAATTATCTTAGCAAAATTATACCAGCGTTGCAGTCGCGTTGTACGCGTTTCCGATTTGCGCCACTGGCACCCGAGCAAATACTACCACGTCTGGATAAGATTATTGAGCAGGAGAAGTAAGTCTCGACAGTATATTTTAATATCTTATTTGTAAACGAATCTTTTTGTAGACTCAACGTCACCGAAGATGGCAAGAAAGCATTGATGACACTTTCCAAAGGTGACATGCGGAAGGTGCTAAATGTGCTGCAAAGTACCTCAATGGCATTCGATGTCGTTAATGAAGACAATGTATACACATGTGTAGGTCATCCATTACGCAGTGATATAGAGCGTACATTGCAAACTTTACTTTCAACAGAGGGTTTCGAGGAAGCTTATGATGGTAAGTGAAACGAAATTTGCGATTATTTAAAAACATGTCTGTGCTTTGGTTATACCCGCCGAGAAACATTCTTGTTTTTACGCAGTTTTCAAAAATGTTGGTTTTAACTTATTTCCATACTCTTTAGAAATACACCGCATAAAATCTGTGCGCGGACTAGCATTGAGTGATATTCTGACAGAATTGCATTTATTTGTTATGCGCTGTAAGTTTTCAAATTATTTATGTATAAAAAAATAAGCCACTATATTGACAATATTTTTAATTTCAGTGGAGATACCCCCGGGCGTTATGAACAAGTTAGTTATAAAAATGGCCAGTATTGAGGAACGTTTGGCAAAAGGTTGCACTGAAGCGCCGCAGACAACTGCACTGATTTCAGCTTTCTTTATCTGTCGCGACATGGTATCGTTGGAGAGTTAAAATTTGCGACAGTCAATATTTGTTATTTTCGAAAAACGAAGTTATATTTTTAAGTTATACCAACGTTTTGTTATATACGTAGCAATTCGATTGCTTTATTTAAGAATAGCATGAGCTCCCAAGCCACTATATTCGTAACTTCCGTAATAAAACAGCCAAACAGTAATCACATTGCTACAGATGAAGTTAAAAAAATATTGTGTACGCTGTTTTTCGGATGACTTATGATTCTTGGCGAGGTAAAACAACTTTCGTTAAAGCCCAAATTCGTATTTGCTTTGAATGTAGAAATGCAGCACTTAGAGAAACTGATGCCATCGGATTTATTAATGATGTTTTTAGTAAATATGAATATTCATGACCCGGGAACGGATTTTTAGAACCTGAAAACCTAAAATGGAATGAAATAATGAAATCAGGGAAAGCTAAATCGTGGACACTCTTAATCGAATATACTCTCTCTTTAGCAGAAAAAAACGAAATTCCCATAAAATCAGTTCCCTGTTCATGACTATTACGGTATTCGCCGGACGCCATCCGCACTGAAGTCGAGTCTGAAATCGAGGCATTTAAACTCGTATTCAAATGAAAAATGTTCTTCGTAAAAAAACGTTTTTGTTTTTTAATGTGTAATGTTAATTTCGCGCGTCATCCAGTGGCCACTTCTCCATTTATTCATTCTACACGGCCAGATAGTGTATGTATGTACATATGTATGTATGTACATTAGGGTGGTCCAAAACAGTAAAGTCGGAATTTTAATGCTCTCACCCTCTAGGATTGTTCTATATCGAAAAAGTATACCCCTATTTTTTATATTGAAATCAAAAAATATTTAGAGGTCGCTCAAAGCACTCAAAGTTTTCCATGTATTTTTATATGGGGAAAAATAAAATTTTTTGTAGAAATAGTACAGAATTCTTGAAAATCAATATTTTTCGATCGGAAAACTCTGATTCTCTTCAGAAGACTCAATAATAATACCCAATTCTTTATTTAACCATTTTTTAATGCTAACGATATTTTATTGGTCACCCCATTGCATTTTTCGGGATTTTTGTGGGTTTTTGGCGGACCTATAAATTATAGTTGCGATGAAAAAATGGTTAAATAAACAATTGGGTATTATTATTGGGAATCTCCTGCAGATAAACAGAGTTTTGTGGTAAGAAAATTTTGATTTTTAATATTCTATACCATTTCTACGAAAAGTTGTTTTTTCTCCATATAAAATACATGGAAAATTTTAGGCGCTTTGAGCGACCTCTAAATATTTTTTGGTTTCAAAAATAAGGGTATGTATATTTTTTTCGGCATAGAACAATCCTAGGGGGTGAGAGCATAAAAATTCCGACATTACTTTTTGACATGCATTTTTGACCACCCTAATGCACATATCTTAAAAGTCACTTATGTTTATCAATCTCGGTCAAATGTTTGTCAATACTGATTTAAAAAAAACGTTATCTATAAGACAGAAATACAAACCAAATCTTTAGTTTTTTGCAAATGTCCTAAAAAATTAAATATTTGTTGTAGGCCTACTACGACTTTCTTGAGGTGGATAAAGTAGCAACTTTAAATTTTTTTAGTCATGCGTTGGAACTAATAGATTGTACTTTGTATTTAAACCCCAGTTTATCTCCCGGTATTTGAGGAAAGGTGCTGAAGTGGCAGTCCTTGGCCACATATTAATCTGGGTGGTTCCGGTTACGTTGCGTCGTAGTGACGTGATATATATACATATGTATGTTGTGTTTACGTATGGCATTAATTAAAATAATAAATTTTCTGATTGCTTTAGGTAATTAGTGGTATACAATCTTACTGTTAAAAAAAAAAATAAAAAATTATCGGTGAAACGTCTTTTTGCATAGATTTATTTAATTAGGCAGTGCAGTAAAACAAGCTAACTATTTAAGTGAACTTTGCACCAATAACTAAAAGACAGCGCGCTCTTACTCTCTTAAAAAAAAAACCTTATAAACAACAAATAAATAATTAATTACTCATTCTCGTATGCCAAAAAAAAATGAGCACCAAAGGGATTAAGAGAGCGGCTAGCTTACGTACAAATAATTCATTGGCTGGCAAATTAAATACTTTGCAACGTTCAGTAGTTGAACGCGGAACGCCAACAAGCGCGGAAGCATATAAAGGTGTTTTTACCATGTATAGAGAGAAAAAACATTGATGTAAATACACTAAAGGCGAACTATACCAATTATTTAATTAGTGTGAACGATAACTAATAGCGAACTCTTAAGATTTGCGAACACACGCACATTGCACGCGTTCTCTTTACTTGTGCTTTTGTGCTCTTTTTTTTTGGTGGAAGCTTAATAAGAAATCTTGGTATTTTAGTGCCATTTTGCCGGCCTCCAAAGGTGATCATGTCACTACGATTCTATTATGATTTGATGTCGCAGCCATCGCGTGCACTGCACATCATACTAAAAATAAGCGGTGCTCAGTTCGAAGATTGTCCAGTAGCGCTGCGAAAAGGTAAGCTGATGGGGAAACTGGTTGCCGTTAGTAGACACATACATACGTACATAGATAAAAATGCATAGATTGCAGCTATCTGCTGCTGCTGATATTCACAGCTTATCAGCGATGGTTCGTTGGCCCATGGGGGATGTTAGGGTGTTCGATTATTCGCCTTTTTT